GCATTAAATAATATATTTGTATTCTCCTAAGGACATTTTAACATGATAAATATGTTTTCAAAATTCTCATAAATCATTACTTAAATATGAGTCACCAAATGAGTTCTCATGAGATATTTAATTAAACATATTTAAAATATTATCATTTGATTATATGTATGTGAATTGATCATCTTAAAATATTCTAGAGCAACCAAAGCTCATGGAGCCAACATTTTATTGAAGCATCTCTTTAATGGGTATAGTCTTCTTTAAAAAGTTGTATTAGATATCACACTCTTAGCTTAATAAATTTGCACAAGCGAAATCATTAGTAATAGGAGCACCTATTGTGAAAATTTGTTAGAATCTTAGTTTTGTTGATGTACAGGACTAAATGTTTATTTCTACTTGAATCAAAGATAGATCTTTTGAATTCTTTATTAATTATGGATTAAATTTTTTAATTGTAAGAATAGGTTTAATAATACTTGATTGGTCAAAAAACAAACGTAGACCAAGATTTCTATCATAAATATTACAAATATTTTCATTGATACGCTTGTGAAAGATATTGGAAATAAGAAGTGTATCCAACAAATAACACCAAGAAGTTTGATTGATATGAATTCATAAAAATTTTATCATGTTTATTTACATTTTCTTAAGTCCTACATTAGGAACTAATGTAATAGGTAGTCATTTGTTAAAGCTAGATTTTTGTGTTTTAATTAGTTTTGTTATTTTATTTTATTTTGTTAACTTATAGAATAAAATAGGATATATTTTTAATTTTAGAAGTTTGAAGTTAAAATACTGTGTAATTTTAGATTATTTAAAAATATAAAATATAAAAATATTCTGCTTGCTAGAAAGCTAACACTCTTGGCAGCCAACCTAGAGTGGTGCTATGGTCGAGTGGGTAGACCCAAACTGGGGGGAGCCACAAGCTGGCCTCAAGCGGTGAGGGACTCGCTCCTCGCACGTGTGTCTCACTCCCCTACCATGTCCCGGTGGCCAACTAGTCGTGGAGCAAGAAGCGTCATACACATGTGCACACACAAGGGTGGACCACTTTTTTACCTTCTCTCAAGATGGTCATGGGCATTATTTTATTTCGGAAGAAGGGATCTCTGATGAGATGATATAGTTTTGATTTATATTCTGCTCAATCACCGTAATATTTTTGATGTGGGACTAAACATTTTTGTGTGTCTCAAGGCAGCCATCTAGAGTGCAATGTGATCTAGTAGTATTTAGCAAGTCACATCATTAGATAAGTCAAATCAAACAGTAGGCGAGACGTCATGATACCAGATGTATAAAACAATCCATCTGCAGTTCATGAATCCAACGTCACCTAGTATGCACGTGGCCATAAATGATGATCCAATAGCTAATAAAGTGCCACCATACTAGAGACTTAAGTTCCCGATCGACAACAGTTCATGGCAGGTTGATCCTACGACACTTAGTGTGCCACGTGACCAAGCACATCTGATTCAGTGGCTCGCAATGCACCATGATATCGAGAACTTAAGCTCTAGTGTGTATCATCATCAAGGATATAAAGATAATAATCAGTTATATCTAGTAAAACACACATTATCGATTATCTTTAAAATCCTAATGGTAGTCACCAATACGACAATTCATTCTTCCCTCCTTTTGCCCAATCAATGCCTCTAGCATTCAACAAATTCGTTCCTTCCTCCCCCTACTGCACTTAAGGCCTTCAACGAGTGGTCAGCTCTTTCCTTCTTCTCTCAGACGACATTGATAGCATAGTCAACCCTTCTTTCAGCAGATCTCTCCAACAAGCAGTGCAGTGCTTCCAAACGATACTTCTGCAACTTCTGACATGGTGTGACATGTTCGGATGAAACCAAGTCACCAGACTGGTGTCTCCAGTTACCTAGAAGGCAAACTATACTTGGACAATGATTTATTTCTTGTTTTCAGTATTTACTTACCTACTTTTGTCATTTATTTATATTTTACCATAAGTTATTTCTATTTCATGCATGTTTCAATTGAAATGAGTAGAACTAATTCAAAACTTGACAAATGATCTTTGTTCTTCTTTTGAATCCTCCGAAACTCGTCTAAAATTAAGCTAAGATCATTTCTAACTTATTTTCTATTGATTTTCATACTCAAATCTCATTGTATTCATATTTTCAACATTCTACGAATAACAGTTAATCTTTTATTTTCGAATGCAAAATCATCAAGATTAAAGGCAACTTAATGATCATTGAACTATTAAAATAATTTGGAGACATTCACGGCTGACCTCATGTTATATGTGTGAATTCTCGAACACACATTCATTTGACAATAATGGTCACTATGAAAACAGGTTGACCGTATTTATCCCTTTCCTTATTATTTTCTTATTTCTCTCTCTCTCTCTCTCTCTCTCTCTCGATTGCTTTTTCTTTCTCTATCTCTCATGAAATCTCTTCCTTTCTCTCCCTTTCTCTCGATTGATCTCCTTCTCTCTCTCTCTCTCAATCAATCTCCCTCTCTCTCCCTCTCTCTCCTTCTCTCTCGTGAGACTTTTCTCTCTCTTTCGTGAGAAATCTCTTCTCTTGTCCTTCGTGAGAGCTCTCTCTCTTCTCTCTCTCTTTTTCTTCTTTCTTTCTCTACTTTTCTTCTTTTATTCTTCTCACCTCACCCCCAACTTAAATCATTGCTAGTCCCTTAGCAATGGAATTACGAAAATAAAAATTTACAAATCTCAAACATCATATTTCAATACAAAAAAAAAAAAAATACAATTAGAAATGATGCACCTTTAGACACTTTGGACTCTTATATCAAGTCTTTAAGAATGATGTCAAGCACTTAAATGTTTAAGCACTCCTTGGAATAACAATCTAGACTTCACTTCTTCTATTCACATCTTTATCACTTCTTCACTCATAGATATATTTACAAGATTTTCTAATTATCAATAATCATCCAAGAATAATATTGATCCTACATTTCCCTTTTTCCATGGCTTGATTTTTGAAGTTTGCACTATATTTCTTCCTTCTTTTATAATGGATAAGTAGCTTTTCCTGTAGACAAATTTCGACAATGAGAATGATGTCTCACACCCTCCATGTGTACTCTTAATTTTCAGGGCTTTCACTTTATCCACTTATTTTACAACAAGCGTTTTTCTATACACGATTTTCGACAATGAGAATGATGTCTCACATCCTCCATGTGTACTCTTCGTTTCTAGATTTTTCACATTGCTCTCTCTCTTTTTTTTTTTTTTGAAATAAGTGATATCTCCTCACAAGTCCTATAGATCAAGGTGCAAAAATCTCCATTAAACTCAATTGATCAATCAAATTTTCACATCAAGTAAATATTATCCATCAAGATCATGAAGTGAAAATCTGTAAAATCAAATCCATGTTATCTATCATGTATCCAAGGAGTATTCCAACATTTCATGCTATTAGATCATTCTTTTGACTCAATAATAATCTTCCTAGTATCTTTTGGTATCAATCAATCTAATTGATTTAATTTTTCATGCATGTAATATGATGTAAGAAATTTGTAAATTAGATAGTTCTGACAGTTATGTTTTCTGTTTTCAGTTCTATTTTTAGCAACAATAAATTTGTCAAAAATAAATCAAAACTATCTTCTTTATAGCTGTAATTTCTAATTTCAGTAATATATGTCTAGGGGATTGAAATGTGGGAAAAGGGTCTCTATAATTTCAAATTTTGGGTTGTTTTTTCGTCTGCTGTTTTTGACAGTCTGTTGTTCCTAACAGAAAACCAGAAAATAGATGTTGCAGTTTTTCCGAATTTTATTTTATTTTTATTTTTTAGTTGTTGTTCTAAGTTGAATAAAATATAAACACATGTTCTTAATCGTCTTACAGCATAAATTAATAATGAATACTTCACCCCCAAACTTAAAAATGACATTGTCCTCAATGACACAGAAAAATCAAAACAGAATATGCAGAAAATATAATTTTCACGTGAAGCATGCATATATGCAAAGTTAAGCATTAAAAATGTTGTCATAAATGATAAAGCTCACAAAGACATCACCTCAACCTCGTTTTTAATTTTCCACTTCATCTTACACTCCTCCTCCTGCACTTTTTCGAAAAAACAAATACAGAAACAAGTACTTCGAAATTCTAAGAAAAGCAGAGCTTAAAAAAAATCAAACAGAATGAAATAAAAACCATGGGTTGCCTCCCATGCAGCGCTGAATTTAATGTCTCCAACTGGACTCTTTGATCTTACTCTTGAATTTCTTTTAATAATAAAATTTCTTTTTCTGCAAGACGTTCATGTTCTATGTAATGTTTAAGCCGTTGTCCATTTACCTTAAAGTTATGATCACTTTTAGGATCTTTAATCATTACAGCCCCATGATTATATCTCTTCCACCACATAAGGCCCTTTCCATTTTGATTTTAATTTTCCTGGGAATAATTTCAGCCTAGAATCATATAACCACACTTTTTGTCCAACATCAAATTTTTTTCTGCTAATGTATTTATCACGAAAAGTTTTAGTTTTTTCTTTATATATTCTATGATTTTCATAAGCTTCATTTCTCAACTCCTCTAGTTCATGTAGCTGAAAAATTCTATGCCCACCAGCTGATTTTTCATCCATACATAAATTTTGAATAGCCCATAATGTTTTATGCTCTATTTCCACAGGAAGATGACATGGCTTTCCAAAAATGAGACGAAATGGGGACATACCTATGGGATTTTTATAAGCTGTTCTATAAGCCCATAATGCATCTTGTAATTTCGTGGGCCAATCTTTCCTATCTAGTCTAACTATTTTTCTCAAAATTCTCTGAATTTCCCTATTTGCTACTTCAACTTGCACATTTGTTTGGGGATGATATGGAGTGGCTACTCTATGGTGTACTCTATTCTTTTTCAACAGTTCTCTGAAATTTTTATTTGTAAAATGTGTTCCTCCATCTCTAATAATCACTCTAGAACATCTAAATCTCGAAAAAATATTTTTCTACACAAATTTCATCACGATTTTATGATCATTAGTTCTAGTAGGAATAGCTTCCACCCACTTCGACACATAATCAACAGCAAGCAAAATATATTCATATTTTTCATCTAATGGGAAGGGACTCATGAAATCTATTCCCCATACATCAAAAATTTCGACTACTAACATGTTACTCATGGGCATTTCATCTTTTTTACTCATGTTACCTATAGATTGGCATGAAATACATGTTCTACTAAATTCTATAGAATCTCTAATGATTGTAGGCCAATAAAAACCACATGGAAAATTTTTTGCAGCTATTTTTCGTATAGAGAAATATCCTCCATAATTAGATGAATGGCACATGTTAATAATGCTATGGTATTCTTCTTCAGGAACACATCTCCTTAAAATTTGATCATTGCCCAAGTAATATAAATCAAGATCATGCCAAAAATAATTTCTAATCTTAGAAAAGAAATGATGTTTTCTGTTCTTATCCCACTGTTCTGGAGTTTTTCCAGAAACCAGAAAATTAACAATATGTGCATACCATGGTGATGGTTGATGTTGAGCTGCCATCAATTGTTCATCTGGAAATGCGTCTTGTAAAGGTGCTGCATTTATTCCTGTGTCACTTAATCTAGAAAGATGGTCAGCAACAGCATTCTCGAAACCTTTTTTATCTTTTATTTATAAGTCAAATTCCTACAACAATAAAATCCATCTTAATAAACGTGGCTTTGCATCTTTCTTATTTAACAGATATTTTAATACTGCATGATCAGTATAAATAATAATTTTAGCTCCCAAAATATATGATCTAAACCTTTCTAACAAAAATACTACAACTAACAACTCTTTTTCAGTCGTGGTATAATTTAATTGAGCATCGGATATAGTTTTACTAGCATATGAAATTACTATGGGTTTTAACTCTTTTGTTTGTCCTAGAATGGCCCTCACTGCATAATTCGATGCATCACACATTATTTCAAAGGGAAGGAACCAATCAAGAGCTTGTAAAATGGGTGCCTCAGTAAGTAATCTTTTTATTTCAGAAAAAGATTCAAACCATTTCTCATCAAAATTAAAAGGCACATCTTTAGATAATAGCATGGTGAGAGGTTTAGAAATCTTCGAAAAATCTTGAATAAATTTTCTGTAATAACCTGCATGACCCAAGAAAGATCTAATCTGTTTTACTAAACTTGGAGGTTTCATTTTAGATATAATATCAATTTTTGCTCTATCCACCTCTAAACCCCTTTTACTCACAATATGACCCAACACAACTCCCTCTTTAACCATAAAATATGATTTCTCCCAACTCAAAACTAATTTTTTCTCTATACATTTCTCAAGTACATGCTGTAAATGATTTAAGCATTCATCAAATGATTCACCAAGAATAGAAAAATCGTCCATAAAAATTTCCATATATTTTCCAATCATATCAGAAAAAATAGACAACATACATCTTTGAAATGTGGCTGGAGCATTACACAGACCAAAAGGCATGCGTTTAAAAGCAAAAGTACCAAATGGACAAGTGAAAGTTATTTTTTCTTGATCTAAAGGGTTTATATAAATTTGATTATAACCAGAGTATCCATCCAGAAAACAAAAAAAGTTTTTTCTAGCTAATTTTTCTAGAATTTGATCAGTAAATGGAAGGGCAAAATGATCTTTTCTAGTAACTGAATTTAATTTTCTATAATCAATGCAAACCCTCCAACCGGTAGTTAATCTTGTTTGTATTTCATCCCCATTTTCGTTTTTTATAACTGTGATCCCTGATTTTTTTGGCACTACTTGTGTAAGACTAACCCATTTGCTATCTGAAATAGGATAAATAATATCAGCAGCCAGCTACTTTAAAATTTCTTTTTTTATAATTTCCATCATGTTAGGATTTAATCTTCGTTGTGGTTCCCTGCTAGTTCTGGCCCCCTCCTCTAGATATATACTATGCATGCATACACTCATATCAATGCCCCTTAGATTGTCCATTTTCCAGCCCATAGCCTTCTTATTTTTTCGAAGTACATCTAATAATTCTTCTTCCTATTCATCACTCAAATCAGCTGCAATAATAATAGGAAATGAATTATTTTCCTTCAAAAACATATATTTTAAACTATAGGGAAGAGGTTTCAACTCTAAATTCAGATGATCTTCCTCTTTCTTTTCTCCCAAATTTATATTCTCTATTTCCTCTAATTCTTCCAGCACATAGTCATCAATAACATCTGGATCATCAAAATCATCTAGAAGATCTATGGTATGACAATCATATACTTGTGATTTCTTAAGATCATTTGGTACCTCAAAAATTTTAATTTCTACTGATTGATCTCCACATGAAATTTTTGCAATACTTGTGAGAAAATCAATATTCATCTTTGCTGTATGCAAAAATGGTCTCCCTAGGATGATTGGCATATCATAAAACTGTCCATTAAAATCCATTTCCAGCACTACAAAATTAGCTAGAAATTTACACCCTTTAACTGTCACTATCAGATTTTCTAAAATACCTTTAAGATGTTTTATAGATCTATCAACAAATTGTAAGGTAACAATAGAAGGTTTAAGATCAGAAATATTAAATTTATCACAAATACTTGTAGGTAATAAATTAATACTAGCACCGGTGTCAAGTAATGCATTCTGAAAAATGAATCCACCAATATCACACGAAATTAAAGGGGCACCTGTATCTCTCAATTTATATAGTAATTAATTTAATAATAATGCACTAGCATGCATAGATAATTTTTCTACTCTAGGTGCCCTTTATGGTGTACACATTTCTTTCAAAACTCTAGCATATTCAGGAATATGTTCAATGGCAGTGAGTAAAGGAAGACTAATTTGCACATCTTGTAAAATTTTCTTTATTTCTTCATTGTGTTCCTTTTTCTTTCTTTGTCTAGGCTCTAGAGCTTTAGGAAATGGAATGGTCATCCTCTCTTTCGAAATTTCCTGGGTAGAATCTATAAAATCCTCTTCTACTCCTATTTAATTTTGTTTTGGTTTGTCTACGTTTTCTTTTTCTTCTAATGTTTGGGGATAAAGATCAGGTAAGATCTTACCACTCCTTAATACATTCACTGTCCTAACATTTTCATTTCGTGGGTTTTTTCCTAGATTCATGCTACTAGACTCCCCTTGCTGAAATCCTATTGTTGGGTGATTTTCTATGGGCTGACTAGGTAGTTGTCCCTCTTCTCTCTTATTCCCAAGAGCCTCTATAATTTGTTTCTGGTGCAGCATTATTTGATTCATAGTTTGTTGTATCATTTGGCTCATTTGCTACATCATTTCCATAGCATCAAGTTGGATTTGAGAGGGCTGATTTTTCTGAAATCTGTTTTCTTATTTTGGACAAAATTCAGAGTTTGAATTGGGTCTAAGTGCTTCTAGATTTTGAATATTATTTGGGTCTCTCCATGAAAAATTATTCCTCCAATTAGGATTATAAGAATTTAAAAAAGGTTCCCTATTTCTATTAAAACCGTGAGCTACTTGCACTTATTCTTGCATAGGGTGAAATGATTGATCTAAATTATAACATTGAAATTCAGAATAATCATTTTCACCATACATAGGACATGTACTATTCGAATTAAGTTGAGGGTTAAAAGGCTTTCTAATATTGTCAATAAATAAATCAATTTTTTCTAATCTTTGATTAATCTGATTAACCTCATTTCTAAGTTTAGAATCATCATCATGATGCAATTCATAAATTTCTCTCTTCTTATTCCTGTCATATAATTCAAAAGAGGCTTGATCTCTAAAATTTTCACTTAAATTCTCATAAAGACTGTAAATCTCATCAAGAGTTTTCTCCATAAAAGCTCCTCCACATATAGAATCAACCATATTTCTATGTTGTTCTAATAATCCATCATAAAAAATTCTATTGAGCTGCCACTTAGGTATAACATGATGAGGACACTTTCTAAGTAAATCTTTGAATTTTTCCCATGTCTCATGCAAAGTTTCTCCTAGTCTTTGAGAAAAACTCCATATATGTTTTCTCATATTTTGAGTTTTTCCTAAGGGATAAAATTTTCGAAGAAAGGCCTGTTCTATATCTTTCTAGCTAGTTAATTCTCTATCTAACGTGGATAGCCAATGGCTAGCTTTGTCCCTAAGTGTATGAGGGAATAATTTCATCTTAATATTTTCCAGTGTAACTTGAGGGAGATTAACTAAATCACAGACCATATGAAATTTTTCTAAGTGCTGATGAGGTTCCTCTAAAGGCAATCCATGAAAATTAGGGAGCATTTGAAAAATTCCTGAATTTATTTCGAATTTAACAGTGGGTGCTAATGGGACTCTAATATTTGATGCTCTTTGAAATGAATCAGAGATATAATGATTTTTCATGGCCATAGGATTATTCTCAGTTTGACCTGTACTTCCTTCAGGATCCATCAAAATTAATTTTTCTTTCGGATTTTTATTTTTGAATGAAATAATGAAAGGATTTTCTAGCCTTGGATGCAAAGATCTTCTACCATGCATAAAAATCAATAAATTCGAGGGAAAAATTAAGTAATTGTTACCCTCCTTCAGGATGCTCCAGTCCTTGCCTTGCTTCTTTTTCTTCCCTTTTTCTAAAAAAAAATCGGCAAAAAGAAAATAAAACAAGAGTTAAATTTTTTTGTGTACTCTAAGAGAAAAACAGAAAAATACTAAATATTATGCAATACATCCCCGACAACGGCGCCAAAATTTGACGTGACATAGTCGTTGTATATTAAATCACGTAAATATAAAATTTATAAAACTAGAAAATACGAATTTTCAGATATTTAGAAGTATTTCTGAATAAATATATCAATTATAATTCAATAAAACTTCCAAAAATAGCGGTAATTTTCCAGTCGATCACAGGGATGTAATATAATATCTGGTAATTATTCAGAAATTTTCTCAATGAATACGATTTTCTATGACTTTTATACTAGGAAATGAAAAGGAAATATATTTAAAATTCACGAAAAAGAGGAAATAAGGGTGCGGATGTTAGGATGACGTCAGCGCCCGGCGAACGCGAATTGGGCAGAAATAGAGTTCCACCCGGCGATTCTTTCGTAAGCAATTATAGATGATTTAATTAATCAAATTAAGATCTGTAAAATCCGAAAGAATGATAATTAAATAAAGTATATTTTGGTAAATTAAAAACACAAAAATTAATCACTAAATGAAGCGTAAAGTAAGTTTGAAAGTAGGAAAATAGAGTTCCGGTGTCGCGACGGCGATGCGTCGGCGATGCACCGGAATCCTGAGCATTCGGGAGGATCGTCGTGCAGTGTCCACGGCCTTGAAGGCTCTCCTTGGAC